AGGGTAAGAACAGGATGGGGAAAGCATGCGGTGGAAGGCAGGGATTTCAGCCCTTAATCTGTCACCTGCTGACTGTGATTTGGAGCAAAGCCCTTAACCTAACTCAGCCTGAGTTTGCTCAACTGCTAAAGAGAGGTTGTGATACCAGCTGCTTCACAGGACGTTGTTCTGAGGACTAAATGCGATAATGTATTACAATGTGGTTTATAAATGATAAGCACTGCATGATATAAGTTATGATCGCTCCCGAGTACAGGCTTAAAGTCATAAAATGAGTAGAAAACAAGACAGAGCTGAGCTACTGCAAAACAAACATCTCAATCACGAGTGACAATGCCAAAACCTGAAACACATCTTATCCATCCGAAAGTCTTCCGGGAGCCTATCTGCACAAGAGAAGGGGAAATAAAAGAAGAAAATGCCTTGCAACTGTGGCAAACTGGATTTGGCTCCTATTCCACAAAGAGAGTTGGCCAAATCCAACAATAAATGGAAACAAATACTTTTGTTTTAGAAGTATGCAGTCAATATGTCAAAGTCATTTGGATTAGACTAATCCTCTCAATGAAAACAAGTATAAAAGATGGATAAAATACACAAAAGAGATATTGGGAGTCCTTAGAGATCAAGTAGGTGAGCCAGAACTTGAAGGACTAAATCCCAGACAGCAAAGGAATGCGGTGCGTGTGTCATACGTAATTTTGGCATTAGCCTCCACGTTTACCCCCCATACCATCTTCTGACTCACTGCATGAGAAATGAGCCAAACTCAAAGCAGTGGCCTGGAGCTTACAGCAGTCTCACTGAAGATGACTGACTGATTGATTGACTGATTGATAACCAAATTTAAAGATTCCACAGGCAAATTTAATAGCATATGAAAAAAGAACAAAAAGGATCATTGACAAAACGGAAAGTAGGTCTGCAGAAATGTCTGCTTGAATCATGAACAGAAAAATGGAAGGAAAATACAGAAAAGAGCATCAGATACCGAGGAACACATCTTTCAATGTGCTAACATACATATGATTAGAATCTCAGAAGGAAAGAGGAAAGAATGGGACACGAGCCAATGGAAGGCACAAATGACCAATGTGGGAAATGAAATGGGAGATGTTCCTACAGATGTTACAGATCCTTAAAAAGATAAGAGGATAGTGTGAAATGACACGATATTCGTGGATTAGAGTCTCAGTGTTGGACAGATATCATTCGCCCCCAAATTGATCTAATGATTCAATACAATCATAATCAAAATTTCAGAAAGACAGTGTGTGGAAACTTAAAAAGGTGTTTTAAGATGAATATAAAAAAAACAAAGGTGCGCGCGTGGGTGTCTCAGTCGGTTAAGTGTCCAACTCTTGACTTCAGCTCAGGTCGTGATCTCATGGTTCTTGGGTTCGAGCCCCACGTCGAGCTCTGTGCTGGCAATGTGGGAGACTGCTTGGTATTCTCTCTTTCTCCCCTTCTCTCTGCCCCTCCCCTGCTCTCTCTCTCAAAATAAATAAATACACATTTAAAAAAAAAAGACTAGGGACAAGGGTAGCAAAGACAATTTTAGAGAAGAAAAACCGCATTGGAGGGTTTATAGCAGAAGATATAGGACGTATTAAGATAAGCTATAAAATTATAACAATTGGGACCCCTGGCTGGCTCAGTCAATCAGCATGTGACTCTTGATCTTGGTGTCCTGAGTTCGAGCCCACGTTGTTCATAGAGTTTACTTTAAAAAAATGTTTTTAATTAAAAATAAGTGGCAAAATTATAAGTTAAAATAGTGCATTATTGGCCCAAAGACAACAGATCAACAAAACGGAGTCCAGAAACCAGCATATACATATATGGTCTGATAAGTGCCATCACAATGCAATACAGTTAAACAATATTTAGAATAAATGATGTTGGATCTTTGGATGTCCACATAGGAAAAAAGTTACTATTGAAACCATAATACTACATATATCATAATACCAAATATATATATATATCAGTTCAGGTTAGATCATAGCTCTGAATATAAAAGACAAATAATAAAGCTTCTAGGGGCTAACACAGAATATATTTAGGATATTAGCGTAAATCAAGATTACTTATATAGGATATGGAAGGAACATAAAGAAAAACAGTAACAAATTTAATTTCATTACAAAAAAGAAAGTCAATACAGCAAAAAATACCATTATAAGAGTGAAAGAGGCAAGCCAACAAGTGGAAAAAGATATTTGCAATATTCATTTCCAAGAACTCACTTCCAGAATATATATAAAGAAATATTACAAATCCACCAGAAAAAGACAGGAAAGCCAAATTTCAAAAATTGAACAAAAACTCTCAAATAGGTATTTTGGGTGTGTGTGTGTGTGTGTGTGTGTGTGTGTGTGTGTGTATGTGCGTGCGTTTTGGGAGTGTGTGTATATATATATGCGTGTGTATGTATGTGTATAAATGTGCATGTATGTATATGTATATATTCTCCAGATTGCCTAATAAGTACATGAAAAGATGTTTAGCATAATTCATCATAAGGAAAATGAGATACCACTACAATATCACATTTTTTAAATGACAACACCAAACGTTAGTAAAAACTTCAATCAGCTGGAACACTAGCAATGGGAGTGTAAGCTAGTAAAACCACTTCAGAAAACATTCTGTCAGTACCTGCCAAAGCTAAACATATGAATCCCTATTATCTGACAACTTTTCAACATAAAAGCATATATATATATATATATATATATATATATATATATGAAAGAAATATATATAAGAATGTTCACAGCAGCCTATGCATAAGTTTTCAAAGCCAAAACCAATCCAAACATGCATTAACAATATAAATGGTGGAATAGTCCTTTTTTTAATATTTTAAATTTTTTTAAGTGTTTATTTCTTTTTGAGAGACAGAGAGAGACATGGCATGAGTGGGGAGGGGCAGAGAGAGAGGGAGACACATAATCTGAAGCAGGCTCCAGGCTCTGAGCTGTCATCAGAGAGCCCAATGCGGGGCTTGAACTCACGAACTGTGAGATCACGACCTGTGCTGAAGTCGGAAGTTCGCTCAGCCGACTGAGCCACCCAGGTGCCCCTGAATAAAAACTGTGCCACAGGGATCGGCAAACTATAGCCCGTGGATCAAATCCACCCATGCCCATTTATGGTATTGTCTAAGGCTGCAGGGTCCTATAGCTGCAACATACAACGCAGAGCCTACAAGGCTGAAAATACTTACTAACTAAACCTTTACAGAAGAAGTGTGCCAACCTCTGCTACACAGCATACTTCTACTACCACACAGAACAAACCCCAGGAGATGTCATACTGGTGGGGGAAAGCCAGACATGAAAGAACGCACGTTATGATTTAATTTATACAAAGTTCAAACACAACTAAAATTAACAGAAGTCAGCCAGAAGTGACAGAGGCCACAAGGCTGGTTACATTTCAGGAAACATAATAACTTGTAAGAGCAACAGTGGAACTGACCACTCTCTTGAAATGTGACCCTGTCATTTAAAGCAAGCAGAACTATAGAGAAGTACCCACACTTGACTAACCTTTCCCACCACACCGTGCAGGCCCCTAGTAAATCTCTCAGAGGGTCAGATCACTCGCCTCCCAAGTTGGAAAGACAAAATGAAGCAAAATCAATCATTCAATAGCTGCTGGGTAGTTGAGATAGAACCTTGTCACAAATGTCTTCTGATCCCTATAGGTTTTGACTTCTTTATATTTGAACAGTAGGAAAAAAAAAAAAACGAGTAGGAACAAGGAAAAACAAACAAAGAACTACAAGAATCTAAACTAAATAGTATTTCAGGGGTACCTGGGTGGCTCAGCCGGTCAAGCGTCCAACTTGGGCTCAGGTCATAATCTCCCAGTTTGTGGGTTTGAGCCCTGCATCAGGCTCTGTGCTGACAGCTCAGAGCCTGGAGCCTGCTTTGGATTCTGTGTGTCCCTCTCTCTCTGCCCCTCCCCTGCTCATTCTCTGTCTCTCTCTCTCTCAAAAATAAATAAACATTAAAAAAAAAAATTTAACGTGCTTTCAGTATCAACTAAAAGAATATGTCTATCCCAAATCCACTCCCTTATTGAGATGAGTGAATGGAATATTCCCTGAAGCTCAGAAGAGTATTGATTTCGGAACAATAATTAAAATCTAATGGACTTAATCAGTTTCACATAGAACTATAAATTTCATCTCAAGACATGATAAATCGCTGAATAAGAATATCTGACTGCTCATCTACTCAATTTTTAAAAATGCAGATTCCATTTTCTGACAATGTTATTCACTTTAACTGAGAGAAATATTCATACCATGTGAAGTGCCGGACATTTTATTCTAAGAAGGGGAGGGAAAAAAGAATCATTTGGTTCTTTATGGGGGTCAAATTATACATCAAATAAAGTATGAAGTTCCTTCACCAGATACATTTCATAAAGTTAAATGGTTCTTTCAAGATTATGCTGACAATAGAGTCTTCAGTCTTTGTTATAATATAGCCTACGACCTCACTAATAAGGATAATAATGTATCATCAAAAAATGCTGTTAATTGAAAACTGCAAGTCTAATTAAGCAGGGATGTGACCATGCATAACATATTATTAATGGAATGATAAGATTGCATTACACCAACTGCTACAAGGAAAAAACTACAAGGACGGTCCACAGTTCAAAGAGTCTTCACATCCATTTTGGCAAAAGTTACTGATGATATTTTCCTTTCATTAAACTGTAGGCTTCACAGCAAAATGACTTAAAACCAGAAGAAGAAAGTAGAGCCAGATTTAAAAGACGGGTCACAGGGCAGCTGCTTGGGATTCAATCTATAAAGAGTCCCCGCACACGGCTGGAAGACATCAGAAATACGGGACCAATTAACTCGTGTTTCCACGTGAAACTCTTTACATAACGGGTAAAATGTAAATCGGCCCCACTCCCAAAGAATTAGTTCCCTCTAATGAAAAATATAAATACTCCATCCTAGTGCTCACCTCTTTCCACGGAGTATTTTGTGATACACTCAGGCACATTCAGGAAGCTTGGGGGTCACTACTAGGCCTGGAACCAAACCTGGAAACAGCCAGCCGATAGTTACCGGAAGTCAGCAGTTACAGGCAATTAAATTCCAACACTGAAAGAACATGTGGTACAGAACTGCCTCTAGAGAAAAACGGATTTATTTTATTGCCTAAATTTTAAATTCCATGCCTCCTAGGACGCCCCCTTGTAACGGGAAAAGCCTTTTTAAAGATCTAACAAGTAAACTGCACTACAGGAAAATGGAACTCATTTTGCTGACATTAAAAGAAAGTATCCAGGCCAAGATGATACACTGACAGCATGTTAAGATCTCCCCCTTCCAGGGGCACCTGGGTGGCTCAGGCTGTTAAGCGTCCGACTTCAGCTCAGGTCATGATCTACACAGTTCGTGAGTTCAAGCCCTGCGTCGGGCTCTGTGCTGACAGCTCAGAGCCTAGGGCCTACTTTTGATTCTGCATCTCCCTCTCTCTCTGCCCCTCCCCTGCTCATGCTCTGTCTCTCTCTGTCTCAAAAATAAATAAAAAATATTAAAAAAAATAAAAATAAAAAAAAAGATCTCCCCCTTCCAGCAGCTAGTACTTAAATGTTAGATTAAAGACAATAAAGATACAGATATGTAAACATATTTATTTGTTGAGGACAAGAAAGGAAAGCCTCCAAGAGTTGGAAATCAAGAGGAACTCACTAATAGATACTAAAGACTCACAGCTCAAAGGAATTTGGATGTGAGTTTGGGATACTGAGACTAAGGCCTCACTGGTCTCACAGGATTGCTTACAAATACAACGCCATCCAGGACAGGTGGCGCAAAGGCGCCTAGGTGGCTCAATCGATAAAGCCTCTGACTCTTGGATTCAGCTTCGGTCACGATCTAGAGGTTCATGATTTCAAGCCCCCCTCCCCGGTGTGCCCTACGCTGACAGCACAGAGCCTATGGGGGTCCTCTCTCTTCCCCTCTGCCCCTTCTCCACTCATGCACACATGTGTGTGCTCTCTCTCATTCTCACTCTCTCAAAATAAAGAAAGAAACTTTAAAAATATAGATATGCATAATGAATTTCCTTTTAGAAAATATGAATAATGAATTTGTGTATCAGAATATAGTCACAGAAAAGGAAAAACATCTTACTTGATACAGTACAAATTTTCTCATTTAGCAGTATCAAGGCTCAATCAGCATTATCGTCCTACAATTCAAAATCTAAGACCACTGTTTATTTTTTTTATTTTTTTTTCAACGTTTTTATTTTTATTTTTGGGACAGAGAGAGACAGAGCATGAACGGGGGAGGGGCAGAGAGAGAGGGAGACACAGAATCGGAAACAGGCTCCAGGCTCCGAGCCATCAGCCCAGAGCCTGACGCGGGGCTCGAACTCACGGACCGCGAGATCGTGACCTGGCTGAAGTCGGACGCTTAACCGACTGCGCCACCCAGGCGCCCCGACCACTGTTTAATCTATGTTAACCACTGTCCTCACATCTTAGCCTTCTTACTGAATTTACTTTCTTACTAAACTTACTAAGCTTACTAAAGTTTTTCATTTCTAGATCAGAGTCTGACGATGAACTGCAGAAAACTGTATTACTATTCCCACATATGCACAGTCATACATAAGAATTCAAAGCACTTTTTTTACTTCTTTTTTAACATTTATTCATTTTTTGAGAGACAGAGAGAGACACAGCATGAGCGGAGGAGGGGCAGAGAGAGAGGGAGACACAGAATCCGAAGCAGGCTCCAGGCTCGGAGCTGTCAGCACAGAGCCCGAAGCAGGGCTCGAACCCACCAACCTTGAGATCATGACCTGAACCAAAGTCGGACACTTACCCGACTGAGCCACCCAGGCGCTCCTAGACTATTCTAAATAAAACTAAATTTAAAACAAAATTTTTAAAAATGAAATAAACAGAAAAACAGCTTTTCCAATTTCTTATATAAAACAATGTTAACAGAACAGTTCAGCAAAGACAGTTTTTCACCTTGAAGAGAAAGCTTGTAGCTGTAATTTTCACTTCTGAATACGTTCTTCTGCCTGTATTGTAGGTGCTTCAATCTAATTGAAAATGAAACATCTCCAAGTTGGAGAAACAAAGTGACACTCAGAGCCTAAGGCTTGACTCCCACGTAATTCCGCCAGTGATATTTTTATGGCTGCAGAAAGCAGAAAAACACAGATATGTTGGCTTGTAGTATTAAATTTAATTCATAAAGTTTAGTAGCAATACTTCTGAGGACAGAGAGAAGTCAGCTTCCAATATGGTTAGTCCAGAAAAAGAAAGATATATTGCTGGTGCAAAAATTGCCTACTCAAAATTTCAAAGTATAGGCTTTAGGGCTCTGAAACACGGGAAGATATAAATACTTTATTATACATCTCATATTGCAAAAGTATCAAAAAGATTTCCTTGGGTTAATACAGCTACCTAAAATCAAAGAACAAAATAACAGAACAAAGAACGAAGGGAGTTTTTTTATTTTTATTAGTTCTCTTGTCATTCATAATAAATTAATAGAATTCTGGTTTTTCTAGCTTTCCGAAGAGATTTTATGAAACATACGAAACATATGAAACAGCTTAGAAACTAGCTTATTTTACAAAGAAGTGACACATTTTTAAGAGAATAAAGAGAAGGAAAGTCTTGGTTTCTGAGTATATGCACATATATATCATTTGAGGGACTCCCCAAGTATAATAGAAACCACTTAACAAAGATCAAACCACATTCTTTCGTTGTTTTCTGTCCCTATATCATTGTGCTGACACATTGGAGACTGTTATCCCCATTGAGTGAGTATAAAAATGAAGAAAATTTCTCCCTAACAGTAAATGTACCATCTTGCTCATTTTAGCATTTTATCTAATATTAGGGGCAAAAATGGAAACAACTTCAAATACTCAAGTAAGAACTTCAGAGGGAGTACGCAGTTTGCATTATAACGTATACCCGTAATAAAATAGCAAAGTGCTTTAAAAAAAAACATTAAGAGAGGAAAACAATTATATTTATAATTTAAATGAAATTCTGCATCCTTCATTTTTTAATTAATTTAAATTTTTTAATTTAATTTTTTAATTAATTACTCTATTTATTTATTTTTAATATATAATAAATAATATTTAATTAAATAAATAATTAATAATATTTATAATATATTATATTTATTTATATTTTATAAATTATAAATATTATAATATTATATATAAAAATTATATATATTTTTATATATGAATATATAATATATATAAATATATATAAATAAAAATTATATATATTATATATAAATTATAAATATTATAATATAATAAATAATATTTAATTAAATAAATAAATAATTATTTAATATATAATAAATAAATAAAATCTAATAATAGGGGCAGGGCAGGGGGAGAAGGAGAGAGAGTGGGGAGAGCCCCATTTGGGGCTCAATCTCATGACCGTGAGATCATGACCTGATCCAAATTTGAGACTTGGTCGTTTACCCAACTGAGTCACCCAGGCACCCCTGAAATTCTTCATTTTTAAAGGAGTATAATTTTTCCATGATCTACCTGGTTCAAACCCTATTTGATCTTTATAAAGATAGAAAAAAAGACCATGTTCAATCTTTTCAGATGCCCAGCCAACTATTTTCTCTATTAATGGTCTCTAATTTTCAGCCAACAGAAATAGATTCTGCTACAACATTTTTCTTCACGGTCGCCATCCCCAAATTCCTTATTTTTTCTGGTGCCCGCAGTGAGCACAAGATTTGATTAACACTAATTACTAGCATTTTTGTTCTACCAGCTTACCAATATTAAAAATATAATGTGGCTTCATCAAATATATTTGCAATGGCATAAAACTTATTATAGCGTATTTCTACACAGACAGAAGTGTAAACATTAAAAACTGAAAAAAAAATTAATATAACACTGTATGTTAACTACACTGGAATTAAAATCAAATTTAAAAAGAATATTCTACATTCTGGTATCAGTAGTGGTTACAAAGAAACAAATGCATAAAATTTTTTCAAACTACACACACAAATTTTTGTTTAAGTTTTCATTTATTTATTTTGAGAGAGAGAGAGAGAGAAGGGAAGGGGAAGAGAGAGAGAAAGAATCCCAAGCAGGCTCCACACTGCCAGCACAGAGCCCGATGTGGGGCTGCACTCTGGAACCATGAGACCAAGACCTGGGGCGAAAATCAAGAGTTGGACGCTTAACCGACTGAGCCACCCAGGCACCCCCACACAAGTATTTTAACCCACAATTAAGGGAACAAGTGTTTACGATGATTATCTGATTATAGACATGGGTGATTCTTCTTTTTTCTGTATCTCTTTCCAAATTTTATACAAAGAATAAATGTCTTTTCTGTAATGAAAAAAAGTGATCAATATGAATAGAACATATCTCAGAAAAAGAAGCCATAAGAGTGATATTCAACAAGAGCTGGATCATGGATGAATTTTTTCAGACCTTTAATAAACAGATATTTTGATCCTATGTATACTTTCCCAGGCCATAAAGAAATTTTACTGAGCCATCATAAGAATGATACCAAACTTAATAAATGCAGCATAAAAAATAAACTACTAGCCAATCTTTTTATGATTACATATGTACAGGTGCTAAATTAAATATTAGCAGGGGAGCCTGGGTGGCTCAGTTGGTTAAGCGTCCGACTTCGGCTCAGGTCATGATCTCACAGCTCGTGGGTTCGAGCCCCGCATCAGGCTCTGTGCTGATGGCTCAGAACCTGGAGCCTGCTTTGGATTCTGTGTCTCCCTCTCTCTCTGCCCCTCTCCTGCTCATGCTCTGTCTCTGTCTCTCTGAAAAGTAAATAAACATTAACAAAAAATTTTGTAATATTAGCATATGGATTTAAGGAGTTTTATTAACAGATTATAATGCCACAACCAAATAAGATTCTTATCAGGAATAAAAGGAGAGTTGAACACTGAAAGGCTGTTGCATGTAATACCTAAGTATTTATAAAATTCATGATTATAGATGTAAGAACTCAAAGATATTTTCCTT